AGTTGCGTAATCCCGGCAGCGCGCGGGGGTAGCGAATCAGGGACAACCCAATGACGAATGAGGCACACTACACAGTGACAGACGGGGTCCCTCGCCCCGTTCAATAACCGCCTTTGACGCTGCTGCAACGCAACGCTGGAAATCGATGTTGTCCAACTTCCTCTGGCAAGGCTCAAGATTGGAACCCACCAGCTTAGCCATATTTGCACCCATGAATACCCTCAGTTGAAGATAAGTGCTGGCCATTTGACCATGGTATCCCCGCAGTGGTTAGCGTCTTTTTGTTGATAGGTCTCTCTGCTTATGATCCCATTGGGCCATACGATTGCGAATATTTTGCTAGATTCTCACCTACGCTGGAAGTGCAGTCTCCGAACAAGACTCGGTAACGTAAATTGTGAAGGATGATACTTGTAACTCTTCTTCAATGCTCTCCCTGCCGGGTTGTATTACCACTAGATAAACGTATAATCAAATGCCCATGCCCCGGACCAGAAACGAATTGGTATAGCAACCCGCGAGCACCAAATGCAAATGCCATCGCCGTCCTCATCGCCATAAAAGGAACGTCAAAACACCCAAAGCAGAATCCAGAACCCAAAACCCCGGTCTAGTAGAACAGGCGCAGAACTCATAAACGACTCCGTACCAAATGGCAAGAGCTTTTCCCACGCTCATACAATCGTCCAGTCGTGCCATCGTCATCACACTGCACTCGACAGTCCTCCTCCGGCATCAAGCCCCGTCGAGAGGCCGCCTGGCAGATGACTATCGATACATGACACCTAGTTTACCAGGTGCGACTATATTCCAACTCTCCTTCGTTATTGCTGCAGCTCAGCGTTTGCAAGCAGTGCTTGGTTGACCTCCGAGTGCGAGAAAGTGTACTTGTCCATGGGGAAGTCCTCCTCCGGTGTGCGGATGCCGATTCCGCTATCGTCAGGGTTGCTGCCGCCCGTCATCCCAGCCGAGTCGACTTGTTCCTGGCTGTTTGATGGAGGAAATGGCGCCTTGTCCGGCTGCGCTTGAGGGAGGTTGGAGAAGTTGAACTCTTCGCTCCCCGTGCTGTAACGGGATCCCTGCCTGCTCGTCTCTTGGCCCATCAATTGGGGGTTGGCGGCAATCGCTGATGCGCCCGAAGTCTTCATGTTGAGGAAACCACCCTGCTCAGCAAGGAAGCAAGTCATCTCATCGATCCAGCACTTTGTCACCCACCAAGAGCCGAAGCTCTTGCCCTGAGCCATTGTGAGATCCCGCATCACTGCTGTACCGACTCTTTGCACGCAGTAAACAATCTCCGTATGTGACGCGTAGGGAAACCGTGTCGGCAACGACTTGAGGAAGCCGACCCAGCGCTCCAAGACATTCTGGCCGTTCGCGTCCGCAGTGCCCTCAGCTCCAGGCTGGCGACCGTTCCTCAAAGCAATGTCGCCATAAACCGTCAGACATTCCACCTCCCAAGGCACGTTCATCGGGTTGAGAAGATCGCGAAGTTCGGATACTAAAAGGTTGACGAGATCGTCCATGCCACGTGTAGGCACACATTCGGCGACCTTGCGTACACGGACCATCGTGATCCAATCGAGGTACATTTGATCGCGGTTGGCTGGGTTCGAAAGCATGTTGGCAGCTGCGTGAGCAGTCAGGTTGACTCTCAACGCGCGGTCGAGCAGGGCTGCGAAAATAGTTGCCGGTGCTTCTTTCGCTCGAATGACATGGTGTGGTTGTCCCTGGAAAGCGTCTCGAATATGAGGCACGAGGCGCTCTGAAATGTTGCGCAAAGTGTCCAAGACAGGCTTAGGCACAACCTGAAGGGTCAACCCGGAGATGATTCTAAGCATGCGCTGGTAAAGGATGAAGTCGCATTCCTCAATCCAAGGGGCGAGGGCTGGGTTGCCAAGCAACTTCTGCACCGGCATGGTTAATGTGCCCTGGAAGGATGTGTAGAGATGGAAAAAGGTCTTCTCCTTGCAGTAACGAACACATTCGACTAGTGAGGTGCAATGCGACCTGTACAGGGCAGATAAGCTCTTCGCGGCATCCGGGTCAGTTCCGTTGGGTAAGAAGGGCTCCATGCGAGGTAGCACAAGAGGCTCGTTGGACTGGAGGAGGGCCTCATCCGCTTCGGAGGGAAACGAGAATTGGAGCGATGTTTTGGATGTGGATGAGTTCAGATGATCCGCGCTGGTCACATTCGGATGGCTGTAGAAGCTGTGAGATCGTGAGTGACCCTGTGGTGCTTGGGCAGGACTCTCCGGCCGCTTGGCAGCATCTGGCGAGGGAAGAGCGGCTTTAGCAGGTTGCGACTTGGTGGGAGCCGCGCTGAAGCTCTGGGAACGGCTGGGTTCCGAAATGGCCATTGGGATCTGAGGCTCTGGCTCTCTGAGGTCAGGCTGGTCATCGACCAAAGTGAAGTTGACGTAGTGATACTTAGATTCACCACGAACACCAAGACGCCGAGTTTTCAGGCCGGGGAAAAGGACGCGGACGAGTTTACCGAAGCTGGCCGGGTTGAGAACGGTGATCCTCTCGGTGGCACATCGAGACGCGTAATTGGCATAGACTCTGCCGCGAGGCACGGAGCCTTTGCCCTTGGAGCATACCGAGTTGATCCAGAGCATGGCGAATACCTGTCGGGTCCGTTCGGAATTGGGGCCTCGCTCATTGCCGTGAAGCTCCTTGGCAACATCTTGCAGGCCACGGTGTTTGTTGGCGGTGAAGAGGTGACGCATTTCCAATTCGTTGTTGGCACTAGATCTGGCAGAGCTAGACTTTTGCATGCCCATGGCTCCAGCCATGGAGTCTTCGTCGTCACGGTCCATCAGCTGGCTATCTTCGGTAAAGCTGTTGTTGGCGAAGCTTTCGGAGGGTAAAGGATGGCGAGGCATGGCGTGTTGTTGGAATGACATGGAATGGTTCATGGCAGCGCTGGGCTGGCTCATGGACATTGAGTAATCGCGGGCGTTGTGCATGTGTTGTGCGGCGTGGAGCATCATCTGCTCCTCCGGAGTTATCCGCGACGCGGGTGCGAGATTCCTCTGCTGCCTTTGATCGTTGTTGACCCATTGTGCAGAGTACAGCTCTGGCGCGTCGGCGAAGGATTGTTGCTCCATGGTCGGCTGGGTGGAGATGCTGTGAACAGAAGCAGTTGAAGCACGGGATTGAGGTCTCTTCTTGGCTCTCAGAGCTTGGGCGAGATGGTCTGTTTACATTTGTGATCAGCGGGGGAGAGATGGCAGAATCGTGCTCTCGACGTGGAGGAGCATGAAAAGGGTTGTTGATCGTACCGTGATCCATAATCCGTCAGCTCTGTCGTTGGCAGTTGTTGTGATGCGACGAAAACAACACACGGTCATGCAGGACAGGCTCCCTAAACAATGAAAGAAAGCAAGGTGCGCCGTGCAGAGAAAGTGGACAGAGATGAGGTTGCAGAAAAGGAGGAGTCGAAGTCGGCAAAGCAATCCGAATCCCTGCAGGGTGGAAAAGCGCGGTGCGCTGTGGTGAGAGCGTCGATATAAAGGATATGGTCGGGGGAAGTGTGGATGGATGGGTTTGTTTAGGATTGCCGACAAAACGACAAAACGTTGTCGTCTCGACAACGCTAGCCTGTGGCTGGAAACACCGAAAACACTGGCTGGGAGTCACGTGAGCCGTAGCTCCGAGTTTGTTGTTTTGTTTTTCGATTGGACGATGCTGACGATGTGGGGGAATACATGGATGTCTTACTCTCCCCTCCGTCTTTTGGCGTCCCTCCAGTGTGTCGAAGGGGCGTGCTTTGTTCCATGGCGGGAAAACAACCGCCTGACGAGCCAATCAGGGGCCGTACTGAATTTGGAGCTTGACACAGCTCCGGACGCCTGGCAGGTCAGGCAGCAAAACAAGACCATCCATGATCCCCACCACGCCCGCTTCGTACCTAGTGTACCTTAGGTAGTGTTCCTTCCAGTGCCTCTGTGTTTTGTCGCAGTCCTTGCTGGCCTTAAGGCGCCATCGTGTTAGGTAAGCCGCCTAGCAGGACCCACCTGTCTGCGGTGTGCAAAGTCCTCAAGCAAGCAGCACAGGCAAGGCATGGACATGAAGTGCTTATCTTATCGCTCGGCAGCACCAACCCAAGCAAAGCATAGCAGAGCACTGAGGAATCACGGAATCTGACACCCTTCGAGCCAAAGGCTCAGAAGTAGCCGCTAACAGCCAAGACATGGATCCCCAAGGCATTTTTTCATCGGCACATAAAGTCTGGCGGGCGGGGTGGTTACGAAGACAACGCTGTTGCTGTGCGGGTTGTTTGGATGTACATGGCAATAGACATTGCAATACCGGCGATATTTACCGTCCCGTCCATAGGTAGTAGCAATGCTGCCCAAGCTGAACCTACCTACCACAACACACCTGCTGAACGACGGGTGACTGTGTCTGCGTCTCTGCGTCCCTCCCCCCTCCCTCTGGATCTCCAGAGTCTATCGTTGCGTGCTACCTCGCTGTTCTGCCCGTGCTGCGCTGCGCTGTCTTCTGTGCTTGCTGTGTGTGCTCCCCGCTTTCGCCTCTCGTCTCGCGCCTGTGCCCCTCCCAAGAAACCCCATCTTTAGCCCCGAGCGAGAGAAGCTCTGAACGCAAGGGCACCTGGTGCCATTCCCGCTGGCTTAGATCTGCACACGTTACGTCGTCATCCAGGACCTTTCCCTTTCACCTGCTAATTCCAACGCAAATACTCAAGGTCATTCAACCCCATACACTCCAAATTTCCCGTCTAGACATTTGTCCGTCTAACATCGCCAATAGCTTCCAAGCCTTTTTTGCTTACCACTACTCTCGCCTACCAACCCGAAGTACTGTGCGTATCCGTCCTCTTCCGATCTGCATCGAGTCCTTCGCTTGCCAGGGTCCTTCGATCCTGCAACCTGGCCTCGCCGTTCTTTGTCTTGTCCTGTCCTAACCCTTATCACAGCCCATTAACGCACAGCTCTCTTGCTCGACACAGCTTTTCGCCGCAAATCGCAAACATGTCTGCTCAGGATCGCGTTCAGAACTACATCGGTCAGCTCGATCGCGAGGTAAAATTTCCCCTGCATCTTGCTCGGATTGCACGACAATCATGTGCTGACTCCCGTGTGTGGTAGCTGTCCAAGTACCCCGCCCTTAACAACCTCGAGAAGCAGACCAACGTCCCCAAGGCCTACGCCGTCGTCGGTGTTGCCGCCCTCTACTTCTTCCTCATCGTCTTCAACCTCGGCGGTCAGCTTCTGACCAACATTGCCGGCTTCGTCATTCCCGGTTACTACTCCCTGAACGCCCTGTTCACTGCGAACAAGCAGGACGACACCCAGTGGCTGACTGTATGTCCACAAATATCTCCCCCGCAATTGTCACAGCGCCAAACTTACTGACCGTTGTTCTAGTACTGGGTCGTCTTCGCCTTCTTCACGTCAGTATTCTTTGTCCCTTGACGAACAATTCGAGCTAACCGAGATGATACAGCGTTGCTGAGAGCCTTGTCAACGTCGTTTACTGGTTCCCCTTCTACTTCACCTTCAAGTTTGTCTTCCTCCTGTGGCTGTCTCTGCCCGTCTTCCGGTACGTTCCGCCCCTTCCGAGCCGATTTGGCAACCACTAATAACCAACAGCGGCGCCGACATCGTCTTCAACTCCTTCCTCTCTCCCATGCTTGCCAAGTACTTCACTGGCTCCACTGCCTCCGGCCTCCGCGCCCAGGCTGGCAAGGCCGAGTAAATGCGCAATAGCGCCAGCTCATTAAGCAGGTCGATTGCCTTGAGAGATCCACCTACGACGAATAAAGAGCTAGCCCGCTCATCCCGGTTGCATTCGCTAGCCAGTCAAAAGGACATGAAGCAGCGACGCAAGGCACAAACATGACGGGATGGGGTTCAGAGGCTGTCATAACCATACACGTGACAACGGTGATGGCTTTTTCAGGTTTGGTCGAGGACCCGGGAACGCGAGGGCCACGACGGAACAGTTGGATAAGTTCCTGTCACCCAGATAAAGTATCTGTACGCTACGGAATACGGAGTCAATGACTTTGAAATGGACTAGAGAGTACCCCATGTGATTAAAGCATCGTGTGACAAGCGAGCCCGTTATCAGTTCTTGATCCGTTGGATTAGCAGGCCGGCAGAGACATGTGACGAGTGTCTCGATTTGACAGTTGTGGCTCAGAGACAAAGAGATACACGAGAAACGACATGTTTCTTTGTCCTGGGCAACTGGAAGACTTGAGTGCCCTCGGGGAAATAGGGAAGTCGGGTGAGCGTCAGGCGTTTAATCGCCAGGGCCTGGCTTTGGCCGCATGCCAATGCTGCTCTCCCGTGTTCGACATCTACCTTAAGTGTCGTTGGCAACCTAAGCGCAAATCAGGGCTGTGGGGGCTGTATTTGGCACGATTATTCGAGCATTACTGGTGTTTGAGAACTAGCTGGTGCTGCTGCCCACTGTCATTTTGTTGCCCCATTGACGCCGAAATATGTTGGAATTGACGCCCATTACCCGAACGACATTTGGGTATGGCAATGACGACCGACGATGCAGCGTTCCTGTCAGACCGTATCTTCCCCTTTTCTTGCCTGTCTGGTGCAGACACGGCAGTTCGAAAGATTGGCTGGACCATCCTGTGCACGCCTGCCAGCATTCGAAGTGGTGTAGCGTGAACTCTGGTCAGTGGCCAGCCGCTGGTGACTATGGATGCCAAGAAGATGAAGACCGATCAGAATGCCGACCGCAACACCTCAACCGTTCCGTTCCTTAGCCTTGGGAGGACATGGGGGTATGTTTTTCAGGGACCTCTCTACCTAGGCGAGGATGGCCCCAGTGGACAGGCCGAGCAATCCGAGACGCGGAAAGGGGTCCCCCACACTACTGGGGCCCCTGAGCCTTGACTGCCCTGCCTGTAGAGCCCGATGGGTTACCTCAGCCGGGGGTGATCTCCAGCGTGTCGTGCCCGGTTCAGAGGCTTGGGGCGCCAGGGAATGCAAGGTCCACGCCGCCTCTCAGCTGTTTGGGATGTGAAACTCCCTAAAACGACAAAGGCACCTTTTTCACTTGTCCCAAATCCGCCACCCTTCACCCTACCCGCCTCAACCTCACCGGCCTCCGTTTCTCGTTTCCCCTCGACGGTCTCTCCCGAGATCTAACCGAATTCGTGGCTTTCCCCTCGTTCGAAAAGCCGCTCGACGACACTCGCTGATCGATTAGACGCATGGTGATGGAATGAAGTGGAGGACTCGGCCAATTTGCGACCACTGAGAGCGACCATTCGACACGCTTTGCGCTTATCGACCCTACCTTTGTCCCCGTTTGAAGACACGATAACCGACACCACGACGAACCGCCGCGTCGCCCAAACTTCAAAGGCATCTGCCCCTGGAGGGCATGTCCTCACAATGCAGCTCAGCCCACTGCAATCGCGACTGGCGGCCTCGCTGATTGCGTCGCTGCTGCTACTACTCATCTACTATTTGCTTTCCACTCCCACTTTTGCGCTTGCCGCAGAATTGAGCGAAGGATTCGACCCCATTCTGGACACCATCGAAGCCGACGATGCGCTCGAAAGACGAAGCCAATTAGAACCTGCCTACGAGCCGGAATTCGCCGCCTTTGACCGCAGCATCATTGGAAGGGCGCCCGCTGGAGTGACCGCACTGGTGAACAACGTCAAGATCAACCGCAACGTGCAGGCAAACTCGACGCAAAGCTTCGTATTCGAGGCTATCTCCGTGTTCGCAAACTTTTTTGACAACACGCCCGACGATGCGTTTGTCGTGGAACCGCGCGAGAAGGGCAATGGCTCCGGTGGCCCAGGAGATGATTTGGCTGGAACGGGTGACGCGCTTTTAGACGCAGAGGACGATGTTGGACTACGTCGCAGACAGCAGGCTCAGGGCAGGAAGGTGTTCATTTCTGCAACGACGTGCATTCAACCTCGCCGTGGAGCCAACAATACCGGCTCGGATCCCCCGCAGATTACCATGTACGTCTCTACATCGAAGGACAATCAGTCACCCGGCCCCGGGCAAAATTCGTCCTTGCAAACAGTAGAGATACTTGAAGAGGGCGCCGCGTTCTTGACGGTCAACGCGACAGGCGACGTCTTCGTTGGGATTGCAGCTCCCGGGGTGGATACGGAGAAGTTCACTGGAGACTGGAACTTTGACGTCGCAGCATCGACGGACGGATATTTCCACGAATTCGACGAGAACCCTTCCGAACTCCTGTGGGTTGACAGTGATTCCAGTGCGGCTCTCTTGACCACTGCGAATTTGACCGATACCCACAATGATACCCTCATCGAGGAGATCATGGCGCAGAGCCCGCCGTTCATTATGTTTGTCGAGAATCGAGACAACCCCACCACCAAAGGTGTTCGGCGCTCCATGTGCGGTTTGGAAAATTACGCTCAAATCGCTGCGAAGACGGGTGGCAAGTTTGGGAATCTGGCCAGTACTGTGATGACCACGAGAGGCGCGGGCAATCTGCCGAAGCAGCAGTTCTTCTTCAACGGCCTCAACGCAAGTGCCTTTTACAACGGCATCCTCGTTCACACTGGCAACTCGACATCGAAGAAGCGACAAGAAGGCGGCAGTTCGGGCAGTGGTGGGCGAGTGTTCCAAGCGACACCGTTTGAAACCAAAGACGGTATGTCTGCCTGCTTTCCAAATATTAAACCACACTAACGTGTTATCAGGCGAAAATTGCAAGATCATCACTGACCTGCAATTCTGCAACGAGACGGAGTATGCCGTCCCGGCAAACTCGAACAAGATGAACATCACTCAACTTGCGCAGTTTTATGACAACTACGCCAAGGAAATGTACGGCAATTTCCAGAAACAGCTTGCGCAAGTTGCCTGTGAAGCACCGGACGTCCAGCGGTATTCACTTGCTCGAAACTGTACGGATTGCGAGATCGCCTACAAGAAGTGGCTCTGTACTGTCACGATCCCTCGTTGCGAGGATTTCACTGCTGCAGAGGCCAACTTCTCACTGGTACGGAACGTAAACCAATCTTTCCCGAATGGCACCCTTCTTCCGATCGACCAATTGAGCAAATACGAAAAGCGGGTTTTCCAGCATTCGAGGAACCCTCTCATCGACGAGATGGTGGCGCCGGGACCGTATCGGGAGATCCTCCCATGCGACTATCTCTGCTACGACTTGGTACAGAGCTGCCCTGCGTCTTTGGGCTTCAACTGCCCTGGGCCGGACGACGACATCTTCAACTCCAGCTACGCTATTCAAGGTGATGGCTTAACATGCAATTACCCCGGCGCGGTCCACAATCCCTCTGCTTCAGCAATATTAGCCGTGTCTTGGGGCCTGCTTGGATTCCTCGTGCTAGGAACTCTAGGTACAGTCATGCTGTGATGACTAGATGTGTTGGGGTACCGATGCAAGACATGCTTTATGTTTGTGTAGAGTGACGGCCGAATCTGTATGGGGTAACTGGGGGCACGACGGTACAGTGTAATGATGTTTCTTTTTTGGAGTTTTGCATGGCATCGGCGTTGGAAAGGCATGGGTCTGTTTGGGAGGTGCGTAAATTGATGGATCTGTAATGATTCAAGAGATATGTAGACCATCTGTGGCATCCACACAACAGTATAGAAGAGTTATAACCGAGATATCTCAATACCCTTGGTCCTCTCTGCGTCATGCCATCTTTCCCGTTTTTCAGGGCGAGGGGGAAACTTGATGCGACCAGACCCTGCACTTTCACAAAGGTGTTGATCCTTTGCGACCTGTGGATGTCCTGCATAGACTCAAGAATCCATAATCTAGGCATGTTGAATTCTCAGCTGGTGATGACGAGTATTCCTGAGGTACTCAGGCATGAGTTCCTCCCCTCTTACTAGCTATCACATTTCATGAGGGATGCTCTTTGGTTTCATGCTATTGCTCCCATCCGCCTATTTGCTCGTCTGCAGTTCGGCGACCTTGGCCTCGAGGCTCTCAATCTCCTTCTTCTTTTCTTCGCGGATCTCGTTCTGTTCCAGCGTCGTCCAGCCCCAGTAGGCGACCTGATACGTAAGGGTTGCCATCAAGAGAACTTTGAGGACGGGTCTCGTGAAGGTCTTGTAAAAGGTGCCCTGTCGGCGACGGTGTTAGGGCTCTGAGATGGGAATGGGCCTGGCCGCGCGATGCAAAGCAACCTTACCACTATCGATGGCCTCTTTTCGCCATTTTCTGATGTTGAGTAGGAGCGGAGTGCTGCGCGGGGCAGTTGTGGTGTGCGCTGCGCGCGGAGGGCTCTGCTGAGGATCGCTGCGCCGTTGCGCGATGCCATGTTGGTGGTGATTTCTGGTTGTGTTCGGCTTCTTCCAATATCCTTCCACCCAATCTGTTTTGTTTGTTCGAATCGGGTCGTCGTCAGATATCGTGTCGTCGGTTCTCGTTGTCGTAAACGTGCAGTATACCGCCGTGTCGTTGCTCGATCAAAAGATTCAATTGAATGCGCCGCTGCGCCGATCTGTGGCGGTGCGCGCCAACGATCCCACCCCGCATAACTCAGGTAAGGTACCTATCTCACTTGGTAGACGCGCTCCCTGTCCGCGTTCCCGCTGTGGCAGGAACTCGCGCCGCACACCTGAAATGTGGCCCCCAAGCTCGCAGTAGCGGTAGCGGCGGGTTGGATTGGATGCTGAAAGCTGGGCTCGGCACCCCTGGCACCGAACAGGTGGCCCCCCGTACTTGAATTCCCTTTTGACGACACATGTCCCGAACTGGGGTGGGTACGACGGTGTAAGGCAGAGAGAGCCCGGGACCACTTGGGAAGGTCCTGAAGGGCGAAAGGTAATGTCCCCCTCTCAGAGGCCCGTCGTCGCAAGGCCATCTTTCTGCCGCTTAATTACACTGTACGAATTGGAGGTAGGTACATTAGCTTCAACCACCTGCAGGTGCCAAAGCTCCCTCGCGCAATCTGTCCCTTCAACCGGCTTCCCTGCTCTTCTCTCGACACGTTCCTCCAGCTTGTGGTCCATTGAACAACACACCTCACACGATCAGCGTTGTTGCCTGCCATTGCGCATCATTGCAGCACATAAGACGAGCTGATTGACTGCAACAACGACAAGTCGCATTCAGACATCACCGCTCTTCTCTCGCCTCTCCCCATCTTAACACCCACACCACACACATACAATCCACAATGGTACGCAGATCCCGAACATCCCAGCACACGATATAATCCTCCCGAAACTCTACATTCGTCAAAGATCCAAGATGGCGGCTTGCTGACAATGGTTTTTGTGCAGGCGCAAACCCCCCAACAAAGACGCGCGAACGCAAAGTTCGCCAAGGACAACGAGGCCCGCATGGGCAAGTCCGAGGAACAAATCAAGAAGCGCGTCAAGGAGACTCCCAAGTCGCCCATTTCTCCCATCTGGCTCAGTGAGTAGTTGTGCCCCTATCAGCGTCGAAGCAACCCTTGCGGCCAATTCGATCCCGCCTATGTCATCACATCATGACCTTCGCTAACGTCTGGCCTCTCCCAGTCCTTCTCGGTTTTGTCGTCTTTGGCGGCATCGTCTTCGAGGTCCTCTCCCGCATGTTCGGTTTCTAAACGACCCTACCACACCATGCCCGTTTCAAAGTTGGAAGAGGTCATCCCTCGGTGGATGAGCGAAAGTCAATAAGGGGCGAGAGGAGGAGAAAAGCGTCGCAGCAAAGATCTACTATTCTTTCTTGCAGATTGTCGTTGCCCATCTACACCAGGCGTCGTAAGGGGTCGCAAGGGAGACTGCGGACACACAACACGCACTCGCTTCGCCGTTGAGGACGAAAAAAGGGGAGCTTTTTACTTTTCAGGCACATGAAACCACACACAGTCTCTCCTGCCCATCGATGGCTGGAAAATCAAGTCTGTACAAATACCACACATTATCAGGGAAAGCAAAACCGTTTGGCGCAATGTATTTCATGTTATTTTATTTTTATTCGCATACAGCTTCCTCGAGTGGAAGAAAGCATTCAAGTCATTCTACAAACTTTTTGGCTACCTGTCGGTTTGTACCGTACGTATTTTAACCCTCAAAACGCCCAGCTACGCATCACGCGTCCTCGTACCGTATGACATATCGGAGGCCGCTCCATTACTAGAAAAGGGGGCTCAAGCGCCCAGACCGCGACGCTGAGCACCACCGTCGTACTTCATGTGCACACCAGCGTTGAACTGCTGCTCAAGCTCCTTGTTGACCTTACTGATATCGCGCTTGCTCTTGGTGCCCGTGGAAGCGCTCGCCGCGCCCTTCTTGCCGCCGCCAAGGAGACGCATAAACTTCTGCTGGCGGTCGGCACCTCCCTCGAGAGCATCAACGTCCCAGCCCTCGCCCTCGTTGGCTTTCGCAGGGGTCTTCTCCTCCTCCTCTTCCTTCTTGGCCCTCTTCTTCTTCTTCTTGTCCTTTTTGCTCGGGGTCTCTTCGGCGAGAGGAGCACCACCGTCCGACTCGTCGTCCTCCTCTTCTGAGCGCTTGCGCTTCTTGTCGGACTTCTTGCTCTTCTTGGGCTCCTCCTCGACCACTTCCTCCTTCTTAGCCTTCTTCTTCTTGTCCTTCTTCTCCTTGGCGGGTATCTCGGCCTCAGCGACCTTCTCCTCCTTCACCTCCTCCTTAACGACGGCAACATCCGACTTGCGCTTGCTCTTCTTCTCTTTCTTGGGCTTCTCCTCTTCCTTCACGTCAACCTCCATCTGCTCCCTTGCCTCGCTTTCCGCGCGGAGCTGTGCGCTCGGGTCCGGGGAGTCGGTCTTCATCTCGACATCCTCCGCCTCGGAGTCAGAGTCGGAGGAATCAGAGTCAGAGTCAGAGTCCGATTCGGAGTCTGATGAAGAGTCGGAGGAGGAGCTGTCGTCGTCGCTATCGTCGTCGTGAATCTTGATAATCTCGTCTTCGTCCTCGGCCTTCTTAACCTGAGCCTGCTGTTCCTTCGCCGCCTTCTGCAATTCCAAGTCGTCAGCTTCGTGCTACACCATCTCTCGACAACTGCGTATCAACCATCACTAACCTCTCTGTTCTCGGCCATGACAGCGTGACGCGCGCGCGCCTTCGCCGCCTCGGTCATGAGCTTCTTCGCCTGCGCCTCGAGCTTGTCGGCGCGCTTCAGCATGCGGTGGAAACGCTTGTCGTCCTTGTTGTTTTTGCGCGCAGCCTTCTCGGCCTTGTCGGCGGCCTGACGCACCGGGTCCCTCCATTTCGCTGCGCGCTGGACGTTGGCCTTGCGCTCGCGCTTCGCCTGGGCCTTGGCGAGCTTCTTCTCCTTGCTGGCGGCCGCACGCTTCTCGCGCATTTCACGCCGACGCTCGAGCTTTTTTTCTGTTCATGAGGCTAGGTGAGTACATTGTCGATCACCAGGTTCACAGGCGCAAGTTTGGAGTTGGTTTTACCTTTGCCCGCCGCCTGACGCTTCAGCGCCTCGAAGTCCAACGGCTTTTCTTCCCCGGTGGCCGCCATCTTGATGCAATTGGCCTGACAGTGTAGGTAAAATTGGTGTGTGCTCTTGCGATGTCAAAAATAAAGCAGTCGAAGGAAGGGAAATTCTCTGGCTTCAATTCTGCCGACAGCGATCAGTTTCGGTGGGGAGGATGTACGCAGGCTTAGAAAAAAAAGTTCTGGGAAGACCAGTTTCTGCCGGGTGGTCAGTGATAATCGACGGTGGACCCTTGTCGATGCTGTGGGGAAGCTAGTCCGTGTGTCATTGAAGTCTGGGCGGTACGTATCGATGTCTGGCCTTCCTTATCCGGCAAGACGGGAGACAGGGCTGAACGACAGTGCCCCTCTTTTCTTCTCGAAGGTACGTACGCACGCTACGTCGACACTCACGTACTGTCTCCCAAGCCAGCATGTTGTATCGCGGCTTGTGGATTTACCCTTTCATGCTTAATTCCTTCGTCAAACAGTTTGTCTTGAACTTTCAAACACAAGTTTTTTCTCGCGCTGGACTGGGAACTTGAACCCATGGGGGAGGGCTCACTTATCTCCCTCCCCAATCGGAAGCCTTGCCCCTCTGCGGGATTCTTGCACGTCTCACACTCACATTAGTACAGAACGCCTCCCACGACGGTTGGGCTGACACGACTCTCAGCCAAGGCAGCCTGGGCACTGGGGCCGCTCTCCGTGCGTCTGTGGCTTGCCTCTCTCGGCGACGAGAACACCAAACCTTATAGACACTGACAGGAGAGTGCATCAGACCGCGCGACTCATCGGCGGGAGGGTTATGTCTCGGCGTTATGTTTAGAACTGCGGGTGCGTGGGTTGCACGCAGGTTGCTAGCTTCACTGGCCTCATGTCGGTCAGAACCCAGAATGCCCTCGTATAGCGGGTAGATCTAGAGCAACTGTGATTCAACGTCATGCTCGACGTGTGTAAGGGGATAGGTTGCACTGGCTAGGCATCCTTAGGCAGGCCAGGCAGTCTCAGCAGTGTGAGCAGTCTTCGTGATCTCAACGTACATGACTCTGGGACCTGGGTGGTTGCAATGACGTCTGGATGGACGATCCTCAGGGTTAGGGTCAGAAAACAGTAGACGTAGGCTCCTCGCAGTCCTAAGGCCGTCTTTATGTAGCTGTGCTAGCCCATCCCATGTCCAGAAGTCGCAAAGTATCTTAATATTTTGGAAGCAGAGTTGTCTTTGTCTGTACTGCGTCTTCGCTGTAAAAGTCCTAAATACTTCCTCCACTGGTCGTCCGTTATTCTTCAATCGTCCCTTCGTGTAGATGCTATCCAGTATATCCCCCTATTTTCCCGACCAGAAATGCCCGATAGCGAAAACAAGACTAACAGAACAAGGCTCGAGAAGAGTTGGTCAAACCATTGATTAAAACACTCAGAAAAAATTAATATTTCCGCTCACTCGAGAACACGAGCTGATCAATGAGGTCATTTTTCCTTACGCGTTTCCGCCTGTTTTATCCCTGTTTCGTATATTCATAAGAGGTGAGAGAGGGATTTAGTGAGGAGAGGCTCTATTGGCGCTGCAAGCCCAGAAAACAAGCTGGGTAATCGGGTATCTTTCGCGACAACTCCCCGTTCTGGCTTCTTCAGCTCCTGTCCAAAAGTTAGCTGCTTGTAGACACATCCAAGGAGGACTATAGCTAATACCTCTGATAGTAACTCTGCCCCTGGCTCTGACTGCCGCTCTGATCATAGTCGTAATAGTACGGCTCTTCGTCGTAGTGATACTCCTCCCCGCCGCTACTTCCGTGACTGGGCGGCTGGGCGTAGCTCGTCGTGTAGTTGTTGCCGTACGTGGTGGGGTACTGTGTATCTTCGTTCACGTACTCGCCACGTCCGCTCCCTCGGCGACTTTCGTGCTCGTGGCCCCTCGACACGACATGTCTGATGTTGATGCTGCCCCAGGGCAAGTACTCCTTTTCTTCGGGCTCTAGGTTGTCGGGCGACGAGACGACGTAGGACCTGTGCGCGTTCTCCTCGTTCTGCGTATCTCGGGTGGCTTTTTCCTTGCTATCCTGGTTCTTCTTGCCTGTTTAAGCGAGTCAGGAATTTTCTTTCTGAAGTAGGAGAGGGGCTTCCCTAGGTAAAAGACATACGAAACTTGCGTTGAGCAAGACGGTTCTGGACACGGCGGCGCTCTTCCGGATCTGTGATGTCTGTCCAGTCGTCGTTCTTGGATGAAGATTTTGACTTGGACTTTGAGTGAGAGTGTGAGGAGTGGTGCTTGGAGCTTGACTCTGACGAGTGCTTTGACGATTTTGATGACATTGCGGGTTCCGTTCAATAGGGGAAGCAAGTTTATGTGCTGTTCTTGAAGGACTCCAGTCCCGCTGCCCAAAGCCAGGCCCAAACAGTATGCTGCCAAGGAGAAATGATGACGAGATGGCCAGCACTTTGCGGTCTTGAATTGGCAGAGACTGAAGAGGGAATTGCTTTTGATCGAGTATGATCAACGGAGGGATGAGATAGTAAGTGTCTGAGCAGAGCTCGAGTGGTTGGAAGTAGACTTGAATGTTGGCCTGATGTTTCGATGAACGAGATGTTTGTCAAGCTAAGGCACAACGTCTCTTTATAATAGACTCCGCAACACCAACATCAACCAGGCTGCTGCTCCAGAGATGCAGCGCAGATGCCTACGCAATGCCGGGATCACCCACCAGCAGCGGGAGAACCTGGAAAGCCTCATGCGGCGGATGGGGCAGACTTGAAAACGGCAACGGGGTCGGTTGCCCGTGGCTTCCGCGCCGTGACGCAGAACCTGACATCTGCAAAATACCTTACGCGAAAAGAGGCAGGGTCGGCACTCGAGTCCATAGTGCCATATCTGCCAAGGAACGGAAGACAAGGTATAGACGGGCAGGGTGTAGTAGTCAAAGCCATATTGGGTTGATGGAGGGGTGTGTAGCAACGAAGGATATGTTCCTGATGGGTAGGGGTGACGAGAGCTGAGTACGTCGACAACGGGTAACTAGTGTGGTGGACGCAGATGACAGACAGCTACCCCCGGTAGATGATGGGGTTTTGGGAACGAAGCGCCGGATCGCGAGCATGGGGATGATGAGGGTGGGTATACTCCGGCTGCCGCAAGGGGTGTGGGAGAGTTCGCCCAATGTTCGAAACATCTCACCGGGGTTGTCTTGGAGAGGACAGCAAGACCAGGGTTCCATGTGACGGACATGTTGTGGCCTCGAAAGCGAAATACGACCAGCCAAGACAGACACGACTAGGAGATAAAAATAATACAAGGGGGCTTTTGAAAGCTTTCCAATTATTCCCGCACGAAGACGCCGGCAGCGTGTCCCGTGGCTGCGCCGTTGACTTCACAGCACGGTTGGCTTCCCCAAACGGGACGGCCCTAGAGCTGGACGAGGGGAAACCGGGGCGAACGGCGGGCACTGTTTCCGCCAGTTGACCATGGCAATGGAGTTGAGACCGGGTTGTCACGGTGGGTGAGCCCGGGCGGGGCGGTCAGAGTTGTATCGGGAGGGTGGGCCCTCCGATGAGGCGAACCTGGTTGCGATCGCAATCCATCGTACATCATGCTCTTAACGAAGAGTCTGATGAAGCTGATACGTAAGGGCATTCGTAGCCGATGAACACCCACGTACCCAACTGCACACCGACAGCAGTCTGGTGGACCATAGCTTATGAAGCGGCCTCAACAACAGACACCAACTTTCGAGGCAAAGAAGGATCTGACGGCGGCCGGTCTTGGCAAAAAGCTGGATATCGATGGGCACACGACGCCTGGGACCCTGTTTGCCTTCAGCCCTAGGTCGATTAGGAATGCCCAATGAACGGCATCGCATGTCGTGCCTGACGTGGGTTGGCCAGGGGTTCGGTCCTACATCTAGCTTAGCTAGTGGCCGTCTCGTCTGTGTATTTGCCCATGCAAATGGAGACCGAACCCAATAGCTGCCATCCGTACTGTCTGCACACACACAACACGCAGAAGCGATGCGCGTGCAGTGCATTTGCTGCACCTTTGATCTGACGCCTCTAAGAGTATACTATACACACACTCATTCCTGGACAATTGGTGAATGCGCCCGCCGGCAAGGCTCTCTGTCGATGAAGTTTGGCAGCATTACCGACGTTGCTCGAATGCGCGGCGTGTCCAAATGGTTGGGACATGGACAGGAGGGTGTCATGCGACAGATGATCGATGAGTCCTAGCTCAACCCTGCAGATGACAGGTACATGCCCCGTGGAAATTGGCTCCCATGTTCAACGTGCGTGGACGATTACGAACCGGCGGACACCCCGCCGTAAGACCATGGCGTCGCCTTTTGCTTCAGTGGAGGGCGACCCGGCAAGACGGCCAGGTTGACTCATCGACCGGCTCCGGTTTTCTGTTCCGTGCTGATTCGTGGCCTGGTGGTGGGTTCGATCCTCCCGCCGTCCGCCGTCCGAACGTCCCAGGTCGAGGTCTGGCCTGTGGAAGGTGGAAGAGAGCGAAACATTCCGAGCAAGTGGGACGGCGACGTTTAAGCTTATTGATAGGCCCAGAAATTTCCTCTTTGGTCTCCGGCTCGCTTCGTGCCCGTCGCCAATTTCCACCCATGCTGAGTGGACGAAAAACACTCGGTTGGACCCGATCCGACAAGAAACCGCGCGTAAATATCCGGCTCCTTTGCCTTGCTTTTTGACGCTCTCGTGACCACAAATGCCGGGCATTGCCCTGGATTCGGTGAAGCAACGACGGGGCGATTGAATTGAGAAACTGCTTGAGAGTTGCCGTTTTTCCTTGTCTGCGACATCAGGTGCCCGTAAGAGAAGTCCTAGGCTGACACACAGTGCGAGCTCTTAGAGTGTAATGTTGCGGAGTTTTGGCGAAGGGGGTTGATTTTTGGACTGGTGGTCAGAACTGCAGACACCCGTCGCTTAGCTTCATCAAGGGATAACTCCAACCCAGCCCGTCGATAGCGTGGGGTTTGCGGCACCTACGAATACGCCGCCTGCGTTGCGCCCTGGCCCTCGCTGACTTGACTAGGGGAGGT